TGCTTCTCTGTTGAATTATTCTTATCTAACAACGTGGAAACGAAATGCAATTGTGATAAATATTTGGAATGAATTTCTAACATTATGTAACAAACACGAAACACAACCTCAACTTCTGTAATTAAATACAACAACTTTTAACTTTTTTTGTCACGGGTGGGACAAGCCAAAAGTGCGTAATAATATCTCACAATATAGATTAAGCACTCACAAAATTTAATATATAACACAACTTTATTAAAAGTAGATGAGTTCTACTATATATTTTTTTTATCAAACACTTGAATTATGAATCGCAAATCAATCGCAAAAAATTTACTTATAACTTGATTTCAAAACATAAAAAAAGGTGATAAAAATGCATTTAAAGCTTTAATTTGTTATTTTTTGGTTGATTCAAGAATTTTACAAATGTCGTATTCACACGTTTGTTAGTTTTATAAAGAAAATAATTTTCGCACTGAGGTCCACTTTCCCATGGAACCTCCCATATGTAGTTAAATAAATACTGTGATTTTGACAGACATACGCAATTACATATGTATTGAAAAAGTAACAGTTAACATTCAACCTTAAGCACTCGTTCAATGTTCTAATAGTTTACAAAATTTTTAAGTAATAAAAACGATGACTTAAGTTGATTATAGCTTTTTTAATGTTATTCCTAACATTCGCATTCCGAAAATATGAAAAATATGACATTCGAAACATACCTAGCATTTATGTACACACATAAGTACATAGTATATATAAATATAAAAATGTATGAACTTTTTAAACGGTTCAAGTCATGGTGAAATTGTAATGTAATGATGTAATGAGAGCGAGTAGGAGGATGTATGTATATTGATTTTTTGTTAAAGTGTATACACATAATTAAAAAAAATTCATAAGTATTGATTTTACACCATCTTATTTGAAAATTTGATTTAAAATGTTTTATAAGATAACCGATTGACAGAAAATAAATCGAAATAGCTGATTTATTACTTCGCCTGTTTATTGCACCATAGGCTCAAGTATTGAATTTAATTCTGATTGTTAGTGGAAGAGAAGGGGTGAGAAGAAAAGGGAAAAGTACACATTCGGCTTTACCGTCAAGGCGTTTCAAGTGTCTAGCTTTGCTTTTGACGTTTTCGTCGCTTCCCATGTAAAGAACGAAAAACTTGAATTCAAAAAAAAATTGAACCATGTTCAAAAGTTTAGGGATTTTGTGTTTTGGGAATTTTGTGACACTGTCACCAAAAAAAGTGTGGGGATTTCGTGTTTGGGGATTTTGTGTTTGGGGATTTTGATTTTGGGAATAATGTATTTCTCCCATTCTACACGTCTTCCTAGGAAGATATATATGTACTGTGAGGGAACCAATGGGCCAATGACATATTTTGCCGTTCAAAGGCGGCGTAAAACTATAGTTTCCTCCAGTTGTGTTACAACTCGGCTCGGCCAAACACGTAGGAAAATAATTTAGTGCGAAATAATTTTATTTTTGTTTACTTTAAATTCAAAGTTTTTCTGCCATTGAAAGCGGACAAACTCGGACAGTGCCAAAGTTAAGCCAAAAGTGGCCAAAAGTGATGTATTGAATTTGATTTAAATTGTTTTATTTTCGACTTATAGATAAATGAAAGTAGTTGACAAACAATTTTTAGAATAACTTGCGAAAAAGTTAAATATTTTGTCACCTTTTAAGATAAAAATTATTATTACTAATTGAAACAACAAAGCCGACAAAGCGGTTTACGCCAAACTTTAAATTCAGAAACTGACAATATAGAAAAGACCGAATATCGACAAATCGTCTCATCCTCTTAAAGGCAGGATGGGCAAAGGGAGTTATCATTTACGCCTATCACAGTGAGGTGTTTGTGCCACGTGAAGTGATCAGTCAGCAGTCCACCTTGAGGCCCGTCTGCTCAGTGAGAGCAAAAAACTAGATGGACCTTCTGAGATTGAAGGCAACATGAGTTTTCGCCACCTGCATCCCCTCTATGCTTCCCAGTCATTTGAATTTTGAGAATTTAAACTTAACTTCCTAAACAGTAACCCAAAAATTCGTTAAATTTTTTGAGATTCAATTCTTTCAGAAATTTCTTCGCACTTCAAACTGAGTACACGATTTTGAATTTTTGAAATCTAACATCCAGTTCTTAAACATCGATCTTAATAAAAAATATAAAAAAAAATATAAAAATCAGAAAAATATTAAATTAAAAATGGCAGAGTCTGGATTTTTTTTTTGTGGAATTTAGTTATTTATTTTTTTATTAATTTTCGCTTTGAAAAAGATATCTAAAATATTTTGGTTTGTTTCTACCTAATTAATGGAAACGATCTCAAATATGTGATTATACATATATTTACTTTTTGGTAATTTGTAACAATAAATTGCACAAAAAATTTAAAAAATTGTTACTCCTTTTTATGTTTGTACTGCTTTTTTTTCTATCGAAAATAGAAATGTACTCCTTTCTCCGTTTCAGAATCTGGCAACCCTCTATTGGATCCACCATTTAGAATCTTTTAATTCCGAGTTTTTCTCCGCCTTCAACGACCCCAAAAAATCCTGAGCAAAAAGTTTCAAGCTAATTCGCCCAATTTTCAAAATATCTTCCGTCATATCAGCGACCCCAAAGCTCCGATAATATTTTGAATTTTGGCCAATTTCGATGGATTCCTGGTCCACAGTGACAATGTTAGAGTGCAGACGTGCATAGTCGGCAAGTAAAAAAATCCATATTTTGACTACGAATTGCTACCTTATTCACCATTTCCTACCGATTTAGCCTCGTACTTCTATATCCTGTTTCCAAAACTGAAGATATCGGCCAAACACTAAATTATCCAACTACTTTATATCTACATTTGGTATACATAGATCAACAGATGACAAATGCGACTCTTTGAGTTTAGAAAAATTTGGATATACAGCATAATCGTTCACCCGATATAAATGTATAATATATACATACATATGTAGTTGTCTACGCCTTTGCAGTTTGGTGGCCAAAAATTATACATGCATACATATGTACATAAAACTAACGTTTGAATAAACTCTAAAGACTACCTTTCAGTCACAAGATCAATGAGAATTTGTTCTGCTGCAGCTCTTGAGTCGCTTCTGAGCTGCCTCCAGATATGTAATTGTAACAACGAATATCTGACGGTACTCTTCATAATAGCCAGCATATGAGAGACACATATGTTGGGGACGATTGCAGTGTTATAAAGATGCGCGATTGCTGAGTCTATATTAAAAACGATCCGATTTAACAGGAAATTTTAGTAAAAATCCCAGAACAAGAATTTTCGTTCCCATATACATACGTACATTGATATAAGGACCAAGGAATGTAAGATAGAAAAATTGTGGGTTTTTATGGACCCGACACTAAACTTTTCATTGCCAACTGAGGGCACTAGCCCCCATAGCAATGTTGACCAGTACCAGAAGATCCGTTGAAAAACATTTGATAGCGTCCCCTTAGTGTCAGACCAAGCGGCCATCAGGACCTTTCCAAATTAATAATCTTTAACTCATGTCAACGAGGAACAAGATTACAGACGAATTAGCCAAAGAAGCCTCTGCATCTGCTTTGGTGAGACCGAAACCATTTTGTGGTATCATTTGGTCTTCTTTGAGACTAAAAATTACTGACTGTGTTAACTCACAATCGGAGAGTAAGTCCTGGAAAGCCTTAGACAGACCTGCTACTTTGGTTATCCTTTCGATAGAGAGGACATCGATTTCTTAAACGCTTCAATCTTTCATCATTTACAAAACCATACTAACCTTTGCCAAGCCTTTGCACTGTATGATCAACAGTAATCTTAAGTTCATCCAAAATGAAAACGAAGTCGCCTTTCTTCCCAACATATAGAAGGTATTATCCTTTTCTTCAAAAGAGTTCACTTGTAAGCCGAAAGCTGTTGATGCGATGGCATCATTTGTAAAACGCGTTGCATAGTCCTTTAAGTTTAACTCAATACCATTGCAGGATTCTTTGGAATGTAGTTTGTGCAAATAGTTTGTACTGTCTTCGGCCACCTGATTGATTAACTCAAACATTTGACGTAGCCTACTGCCAGTAAATGCTGGACTTAATGTGCTGCGCATATCTTTCCACTTGTCGTTTTTCATTTGAAACAAAGACTTTGTAAGGAGTTCATGAGAATCCTCGCCAAAGAAGTTATTGTGGTTCAGGAAGTGATCGAAGTCTTTTACTGTGATTTGTCGCAGAAGATCTGTATCTCGAATTAGGTACATGGGTGTTGTTTGATAAAATACGCCATAAATACTGAAATTTCGGAAAAAAGAAGAAATTAAATGAATAAACATGGCTAAATAAAATGCATTACTAAATAATGATGAGTAAAAATAGTATAAAGTAAAAAAGAGCTTTTAACACGTTGTCTGCCTCAGCATCATCGGTGATCACATCGAAAATCTACCCCAAGGTGTCAACCAAAAATACCATGTTATGATTAGCCGAATACCTTCATATATTGTAACAGAATTGTTAGTTACGCCAAGACAGGTTCGTACTTGTTTGAGACTATAGTATCCCCGATGAAAAAAAATGTTTTCTCGGGTTAAACACTATTCTATCTTTTAAGTTAGAACCAACAATACACACACACAAAATTTCAATGAAATCGGTTAAGCGGTCTCGGAAATTAGCTTAAACGAACACAGTGACATGAGATTTTTATATATTAAGATATATATGTTACCTGCCAAACTCAATCTTAGGACAAACTAGTTTTGCCTAGGCTAAACTAGATAAGGGCCACAGTATTTTTGCGCAGAACACCTTTCCGCGTAGGCGGCCTTCGGCCCCACTTCAAAAAAAATACCCTCATCAGTCCAACTCCATCTACTCAGTCCACAGTATTACGTCTGTTCCAATAGCATACCGGTTTACAGGATTTAGTCAGAACTTACAGGAAGTCGTTCCTATTAACATAAAACCTGTAAGTGGGAACACTTTTGAGAGAGAAACTGAGCAACTGTTCCTAGTCAGAAGATTTTTTATATTTAAAAAAAAAATGGAAGTAAAGAACGAGATATTTGAATATGTATAGATTTTAATAATTACTTAGTGAAATTTCAGCCAAATCAGTGTTGTACAAATGACGGGTAAACAAACCGACTGACGTTTTTACAGGAAATACTGCTTTTTGCGTTCCCGTGCACTTCTGCATCTGTTTTTCTTTTACTCTCACTTGAGAGAGTAAAATTGTAGATTGACAGTTCCTCGGGTTTTAGTCCAAAGTTCAAAGGAACAGACTAATTGTTGCGTCCAACTTGTTTCCGCGTTGGACGGATATATTGGCACTAAGTAGAATTAGTTTAGCTTAGGAAAAACTAGTTTGTCCAAAGATCGGGTTTGGCCGGTAATATATATATTATTAAAAATCAACGCGATCTCCTGGCCACGTGCAACTTGCACTTTATTATAAAAAATTGTAGCGGTATATAAAACTGCATTCCTAAAATTTTTCTGAAAACTCAAAACAAAATCATAATTTCATGTTATTTTTTTTCGTTTGAGGGAGCCCTACAAATATTTTTAGCTAGTTTTTATCATGTAACATTTATTATCTGTAACATAAGAATCGATTTTCTTCAAAACTTCTACTTTTTCTGCACTTTCCACCAAAAAAATTTAATATAAAAATTCAGAAATCGGGTCACCTTATTTTTCCCAACTATCATGTTTCGCTGCTGCTCTCAATCTTTGTCAAAATTCCAAGATTTCAAAAATAATGATGAAGCATTTGAAGCATCGCCTAAGCTGTACATGTAAAATTTAAAAAAGTTTCTTATACTCCCTCCACCGAAGAGGTAGAGTCGATATTTTAGAGGTCTACAAGTGCATCACCGATGATATGCTGGTACCTAGGAGTAGTTTTTCGAAGTAATCACCGGTAATGCACTGGCATATGGAAGACGAAACCATTCAGCACTCTATTCATCTATTCTACTTTTTATACCTTTCATGAGCATGAAATGGTATTATAACTTTGGTCCGATGTTTGTAAGTACCAGAACAAAAAGAGATAGACCCATTAAAATGTATACTTATTTGATCAGAACGTCGAGCTGAGTTGATTTATCCATGTCCGTCTGTCCGTCTGTCCGTCTGTTTTTTAGCTAGTTTTTATCATGTAACATTTATTTCTGTAACATAAGAATCGATTTTCTTCAAACTACTTTTTCTGCACTTTCCACCAAAAAAAATTTAATATAAAAATTCAGAAATCGGGTCACCTTATTTTTCCCAATTATCAGGTTTCGCAACTGCTCTCAGATCTTTGTCAAAATTCCAAGATTTCAAAAATAATGATGAAGCATTTGAAGCATCGCCTAAGCTGTATATGTCAAATTTAAAAAAATGTCTTATACTCCCTCCACCGAAGAGGTAGAGTCGATATTTTAGAGGTCTACAAGTGTATCACCGATGATACGTTGGTACCTAGGAGTAGTTTTTCGAAGTAATCACCGGTGATGCACTGGCATATGGAAGACGAAACCATTCAGCACTCTATTCATCTATTCTACTTTTTTAGACTTAAGTTTTAATTAAAAAACAGTTAACATATTTTCATAACAATTAAACATATTTTCTGTCAAATTGCGAGTTGGGATCGAAGACGGTATATTTTTTACCCGTTAGATAGTTTCCTCGACCTCAAGACCCAAATTGACTGTTCCAATTTTATTATTGTAAACTAATTAATTAATAGGTACTAATAATGTTTTTTATTATCAACGAATTCTGATACCGGTTCTATTTCTATTGGAAACTTGTACAAAACTTACCGTCCCTTGTGTTGATTATAAAGATCAATTACAACATCAAACATTGAGCGTCTATGCAACATCACTTTTTTGAAGCTACCAAACACCGGAAAAGGCTTATCGTACGGTATTTGACGTTTTTCAAAGAAGTCAAAATTTGCTGTAGCCCAACGATACAGCAGATAAATGAAAACTGCACCAAGTATAAAAAGTTCAAACCACATTATGTTTTAAAAAAATATTCCAAACTGTTTTATGAGAAAATATTAAACGCTTTTGTGTTCTCGCACGTTTATCTCGCGACTGATTGCATTTTCAATTGAACTGTTCTTTTTATAAACAAACCCGGACTAAAATTATAATTTGCAGAGCTTTCTTAAAAAGCTTGATAACAATGTAAAGTACATACATTTGTAAATATTGACCTTTTATCATTTTCTTATTTCGGCCGGTGTGATAACGTTGTAGTGGTTTTCGGTGCAACAACAACTAACAAGGCGGAACCGTGCTCATGTGGAGCAATTAAATAAAACTTAAGTAGGGTTTACGATAGAGCTATTTATTTTTTATTTAGACCTGGAAATTGTTCTTATTTTTTGCAAAGTTTGCTGCACTTTTATGTGATAACCTAGACAGACGGCAACGTTAATCTGGCGCAGCTAATCAAATTTGTACTATTACATGAACTTTTTGAACCCGGCAGCGACATCACGAATTTGTAATAAAAGAATAAGAAGAACCCTATGTGTCGCTAAAAAATATAAGTAGTGATGTAACTCTGTCGTCGTCAATATAATCATCTACGTAAGAATAAATATCAGAGATCTCATAGGTGCAAAATAAGACTATCGGAAAAGCTCATAACATCGAAAGGGATGAGTTTTCTAAATGCAACAAACTTTCGTAAAAATTTCGAGCTTTCTTAATTAGATTTCCCAGAAAGATTCCGAGTATGCACTTTTGCAGCCAATAGAATTCTAGTAGAAAAAAGTGAAAAGTAGTAGTTATAAGTTTTGTCTTCCATGCGAGGATCTGAAATGTGCTACTCTTCCATGCGAGAATCTGACATTGAGATGTGCTACTCTTCTCATGGAGCGATGATATCACGAATAAATAGTTTATTTTTATAAAAAAAATTATAAAAAATCAACCACAATTTGAAGCCATTTGAAACCTGTACTTTATTCTACTAGAATTGAATAGGCTGCAAAACCGCATACTCAGAATCTTTCTTGGAAACCTGGTATAAAAAGCTCGAGATTTGTACGATAGGTGGTTAAATTTTTTTAAATATTGTACAAAGTTTTCAACTTAAATTTACACGGGTTTTCTTAAAAAAAAACTCTAGTTTTATAAAAAATAAGCAAAATTAAATTACAAAAAAATTATATGATAGGACTTGCAAAAATGTGGCGTGGCTATAATTTGTTCGACCACTGTATATACGTATATATACGTACATATGTATGTATGTACATTAAAGTGGTCGAAAAATGTATGTAAAAAATAAGGTCGGACTTTTAATGCCGCCACCCCCTAGGATTGTTATATACCAAAAAAAAATATACCCATACTTTTTTATTTTGAAATAAAAAATAATTTAGGTAGTGCTCAAAGCGCTCAAAGTTTTCCATGTACATATTTTGTATGGAGAAAAAACATCTTTTCGTAGAAGTAGTGTAGAATTCTTGAAAATCAATATTTTTCGATAGAAAAACTTTAGTTATCTTCAGGAGACTCCCAGTGTTTGTTTCTTTAACAATTTTTTCATGGTAACTATATTTTATAGGTCCTCTAAAGCACTTAGAAAAGGCAATT